CAAGGTCCTGTGCAGCCTGCTTGGGGAGACTCTGCTTCTGCAGGGGGGTTGGACTGGGTGACCCACAGAGGCCCCTTCCAAACCCTGCCATGCTGTGATTCTGTGATTCTGTCCATCCTTGCTTGGGCGAGGGGACTCCCTGGGGTGCTGCCACTGTAGGAGCTGGGTGCTTCCATCCCTACCTGATTGGCATGGTAGCTGTTGAGCCAGCGCTCGATGTGGGTGGCATACCAGCCCGGCACCAGGCAGCGGTTCTGCAGGGTCCGGAGCTTCGGAGCAGCCTCGGGTCCTGCCGTGATCACCTCGTGGAAGGTGTATTTCAGGGCGACCGGGTCATCGTGAGCTCGCTGGTGCTGTCAGGCATGAGCAAGGTAGGTTTGTTCCTAAGGCAACCCAAATCCTGGGCTGCCACGAAGCACCGTGGTTCCCAGGCCACCACGCTGTGTCCTCGCACGTCTTGTTCAACCAAAGAGTGCAGCACCTGCAGCCACCCCATCTCCCAAACCAAGCCAACGGAGGGAAGCCCCGGGCCCACCCCCCCGTTGATGATGATGGTGATGACTTTGGCCTTGGAGAGCAGGGCCGCAGCTCGCCGGGGAGCCACTTCTGAGTCAAAATAGTTGGCACTTTTCTCGAAGTAGAAGTCAGAGGTGGTGTTGGAGGGGATGGGGAAGAACTCCATGTACCTGGGGGAGGCATGAGGCAGCCAGATGGGCACCACGAGATGTCCCCAGCACTCCCCTTGCAGGTGACACCTCAGACACTCTGTACCATGCACTAACCCTGCAGGGTCCCCCTGGGTCTGACACGCTGCCTGGGGCTCCACAACCCCCTCCAGCCATTTTGGAGGTCCAAGCCTCACCAGATTCCCCAGGCAGACCCCAAAAACAGGGGGTAGCAGATGCACACGCATGCACACAGCTTCTGCTGAGGGCACTTCTGAGGCCCAGCAAGTGGCCTTTGCCTTCAGGACAACATCTTGGGGATAAACCATGGTGGTGTGATGGTCTGAAGGCAGTGCAGCAGCAACCACCGCCAGTGTTGGCTGCACCACAGACCTCCGCAGTAAGGCGAACTCTGACTGTCCCACAGAGCTGGTGCTGGCATGAGCACACCCTTGCAAAGGGCACAGCCCATGCAGGATTCATCCCACCTTGCAGCACCCAGATGCCCTCTGCCAAGAACCCGGGGGCTGTGAGGCTGATGGGAAACCCCACAGCAGCACTGCTCTGGTTCCCAAAGGAACCGGTGCTCCCAGCTCAGCCCCTGCGATGGAGAGACCTACCAGTCAATGCCCTTGTGATAGTTGTGTCCATTGAAGAACTGTATCTCCTCAAAGGTCTCTGAGCTGGGGTAGTTGCTGCTCAGGTCCGGGTGCATCCCCAAGAAGAGATAAAGGGCGGTCGTTCCTTCAGGCAGACAGAAAGCAAGAGCTGACTTGGGCCAAACCTCCCTCTGAGCTCTGCTTCAGGGCAGGAGGGCTGGGAGAGGCCCTCGGGGGGTGGGCGGGGGACCCGGCCAGCCTCCCAGCACGATCATGGCACCAAGGGTGAAAGGAGCACCTGTTTTCTGAGGCCCGATGATGAGAAGCTTTGGGAATCGGTCACAGGTCTTTTCTTTGGACCAGATGTCTTTGTGCCGTTTGTCTTCACAGGGATCCTGAAATGCAAGGGGGGAGGACTGGAGCCAGGGCAGCCTGGACGGGACCACGCACCACTGCTCAGCCCCCTCCAGCCCCAGCAGACGCACGGGGAGGCCATGTTGCTCAGTGGGCAGGGCAAAAGACTGGGGTTATTTCCAGCTCTACGGGGCAAACTCCTCCCTGGCACTGCCCACAAAACCACAGAAAGGTGGAACACCTCCTGTTCCCCCCATTCGAGGCACAGGGGTACCTGCCACAGCGGGTCTTTCTCCTCGGAGAAGATCTGGAAGTATTTCTGTGCCAGCTGCACGGGCGGCAACGTCTGCAGCTTCAAGTTGGTCCAGGAGTTGAGGAAGCGGACCAGGTGCTTGAAGGTGTACAAGCCCAGGCGGTCGTTGCCGTAATTGGACAGATGGGTCATGAAGATGCTGATCTGAAGCGGAAAGGACAGCGCAGGGGTTAGCAGAGCCTCACCCAGCAGCCATCCCATGCAAACGGCTCCCACCCTGGCTGAAGACATTGGGGACATCTCCCACTGCAGCGCTGGGGGACAGCTCTGCAAGAGATGCCTGTCCGTCTGTCCCCGGGCAGCCAGACAGCAGTACTCACAGGGTTGAGGAGCACAGTCAGGAACAGTTCACCCCCGTTGATGATTTTGTCCAGTTCACTGGAACCACCGGGGTACTCGTTGTAGAAGATGGTGTGCGTGAAGAGGCCGCAGGTTTGCCGGGGGAGTACCTGGGGCAGGACAAAGACGTGGACGGAGCACCCAGGGCTGGGTCCCCTTCCTCCTCCCAAATGCAAAGGTGGTTCTCAACCCCTCAGAGGTCAGGACTGGCTCCACTGCCCCTCACCACCTTTGACTTGAATCCTGATGCCCGCAAGGGATGAAGATGGACAGATGGAGAAGCCAGAAACTGTCCTCACATGAGCTTCCCCCATGCAGGATGAGCAGAGGGCACAGCCCCCTCAAATTGAGCGTTCGAGCTGCCCAGAAACCATTCGCCAAGGCTCTGGGTTAGGTGGGGGAGGCAAGGGAAGAGAAGCACCAGAGACAAAGCCTGGCCACCTACCATGATGCCACTGTGGATGAAGCCACGGCGATAGCGAGCGGGTTTCAGGTGGGGGTACTCCTCCGTGCTCGTCACTTTGATTGACCAAACCTGCTTCCAAGCTTCGTACAACTGCACATGGACAGGGTACACGCCCGAGTGGTGGGGGGCCACGGCGTACCCCATGTCAGTGGGGATGCCATGCTCCTGCAGAGAAGAGAGCAGGGAGTGGGGTGACCATGGAGACCCCAAAACTACAACATCCCAAACCAGTCTCACCCCAAGGGACTGCCCATTCCCAGCTACAACAGTCAGCTCGTGCCTCTGGAGAGCAACTAGGGCAGGGCTGTGCCTGCCTATCCTCTCCTAACCAGGGCTGTCTCCACAAAAGGGAGCCCTGTGGCAGGCATGCTGGGTGCACGCTCGCTCCTCTGCTTCACGTGGACCAGCCTCACCCCCGCCATTTCTGCTGTCACTGACAGAACAACAGCAAAGCTCTTCTGTGGAGAACGAGGAGATACATCTATACAGGACTGTTGATTTATATCAGTAGATATAAAACAGCCTAGAAATTCTGAGCTGGACAACTGCTCCTACCAAGCAGGGATGGTCCAGTCTCTCTCTAATTAAGCACTTCTAATTATCAGACAATGAATTCAAGCTAGTCTGAAAGTCCCTCTCAGGCCATAGGACCGAGTTATTGTTGCTGGGTCTGGCTTCACTGGGTTTGGATTCAAGGCAGCTGTGAGCGAACCAGTCGATCACAGCACGGTCTGGTCTCAGCGCTGGCTTTACCCAGGGCAAAGGACAGTCCAAGAGGATGGACAACGCCTTACCGAGCTGAAGGTCAGAGCCTGCCTTTATCAAAGAAACAAGTCCCCGACAGCTTGGCCTGCAGAGGGAGTTTCCACCAGCCGGAGTCTCCCAGCACACGGCCACCGCTCCAGGATCCCGCACTACTGCCCAGCACAGCATCAAACCGCGCTGGGCTGAGCACCCGACCTGCACCCCCCCGGATCGGACCTCCGCACCATCCCCCACAGTGCCGGGCCAGGCTGCAACGCACAGACGATGTCTCCCGTCCATCAGGCACCGGGCAGCTCGCTGCCACAGCAGCAAGTTACCTGGTGCAGGTAAATCCTTTTGCTCCAGGCACTGGCGTATAAATGGATTTACCCACCCAGCTGCGACGTGGGGGACATGACTTAATGTCCACAGATTCCTTTGCTCCAGCACGCACAGACCGTCACCCAGGTCCCCCAGGAAGCCTCTTCGACCCCCTTCTCCTGTCCTCCACCCCCCATGAGCACCCCCACCAGCGGCATCTTACTCACGACAGCGAATTTCTTGTTTAATGTCATCTGCTCGGCCAGAACCGACTGGTTGTGGAAGAGGTGAGGCTGCATGTGGCTCCACATGTGGGGGAACCACCAGAACTCCCTCACATAGGACAGCAGCAGGTCATCGCCTTCGTCCTCGGCATCAGTACCTGCAGGCACGATGCTCGCCGTCACCGCCAGGCACGCAAAGCCACGTCCAAGCAGCCAGGGCAGAGGGATGGGGAGCCCCTCTCAGCGAACGAGTGATGGGGGGCAGTGGGGTGGGATGCCCGAGGACCCTCCTGCAGCCCTAACGCCTTGTGCCCCAACACTAGCCGCGTGGCACCGAAAGGCAAAGCGATGCCCTTGCCCTCCTCACCCGTGTGGAAGAATTTCCCTGAGTATCCCAGGTTGAAGGTGAAGTTCGGGATGTGGGTGCGCAGCTCGTTCTGCGTGTCAAATAGTGCCTGGGAGAGGGGGAGAGAAAGCAAGATGTCCTCAGCACGTGGCCACAGGGACAGCTGCCACGCCAGGACGAGGACCCATGTCCCCGAGAGCCTCGCAGAGGGGCTCGCAGGGGGCCAGGGGATGCTCTCGGGGCAGGAAAGCTCATCCCTGGAGCATCCCAGAGGAGGCCAAAGCACCCAGCCCCAGGCATCCCCTGCCCACCCAGCCAGGACATCGCAGCCCCACCTTGACATCTTCCACTTTCATGCGCGTGCCCTCCTTGCCCACAAAGATGTCATCAATGTCCACCAGGATGTAGCGGTCAAGGGGCAGGGAGAGCCTCTTGCCCGTCAGGAAGGAGACGGAGTCCACGAAGACCAGCTTGTGCAGCCAGAAGTTGAGGTTGTTGCCAAAAAGCACCCTCTGGATGCCATCGTGGAGGCCCAGGTCCTGCATCACAGTGGTGTGCAGCGCCGCGTCCACGCTCATGTGTGGGATGGACTCAGCCGACTTGGTCTTGGCCAGAAGGACCGGCTCGTAGGTGGAGTGGTTGGACTGGAAGACGGTCCAGTCCTCCCCGGGGAGCACGCCCTTCTCCACCTCGCTGGGGCGCGTGATGTACAGCAGCGGCGACTTGGGGTTGATGCTGCAGTCCTTCAGCGCCAGGTTGGAGTGGAGGAAGAGGGGGAAGCCCTTCAGCTGGGCGCTCAGCAGGCTGTTCTCGTTGGCCTGCATGGGGAGAGACGGGAGCTGGAGGAGACAGGACATTGGGGATGGAGGCGTTGAAAGACAGGGGCTCACCAGGGGCACCAACGGCCATGGTGAGGGGTTAGGTGGCTCACCATCCCCGGAGATCCAGGTGTTGGGTCCCCCCGCTTCCACTCCTGAGCATGGGGCACCCTCATCCCCCTTGCACACCCAATCCTGCTCACGTTCCACGTGCAAAGGCCCCCAGGGCTGCAAGCCCCGGGCAGGAGAAGAGCAGGGGGCTGCCGAGCAAAACACCTGCTCCTGCTTTTGGTGAACCCCAGCAAGGGTCACTGCTGGGAAACAGGATGCTAAAAGCCACCGGACTGATCCCAGAGGTGTGTTCTTACCCCCAAAACACCCAGGAGCCGCACAGCCCTTCCACGGGGAGTGGGCTAAGATGATGCCTTCTGCGAGAAGCCTGCAGCCCACGCCAGGCTGCGGGCTGGCCCCACACCAACTCCGGCTGCTTGCAGAAAGCAAGGGGAGGGCAGAGTCCCTGCAGCGCAGTGTGACCCCGGAGCCCCCTGCTCACACCTGGCCTGGCCACAGGGTCTCGGTTTGCCCCCCACACCCTCTCACCTTGAAGAAGCCAATGATGCCCACGCCGTACTCCACGCAGTACTTGTCCAGCAGCTCCCGGTTCCAGGCATCCAGGTTGACGTACTTGAGGATGTTCTCATAGATGATGAGGGCAAAGCGTCCCCGGTCCTTGTCAGTCAGCGTGGGCATGTCCCCCTTCCCCGGGGCGATCTCCGTCCTGTATTTGAAGCGACTCGACTCCAGGATGGCCACGATCTCCTGGCCCAGCTGCGAGTAGAGGCTCTCCACGAAGACCAGCACCAAGGGGTCCGTGCGGGAGGAGTCGGCCACCTTGATGGTCTTCAGCGGCAGCAAGCGGGAAGGGGCGACCTTGGGCTCATCGCAGTCCGGCCCCGCCACGTCCCCGGAGGGCTCCAAGCCCCTTTTCCACCCATATAAATAATACGCAGAGGCGAAAACACTGAGCAGGCAGAAGACGAAGAGCAGGAGCAACACCACCTGCGGAGAGAGCTGCCGGACACCCCGCCGGGCCCTGGCCAGCACAGTCATCCTTGCATTCGCGGGGCGAGGTGGGGCCCCTCTCCCCTGCCCGTCCCCTCCCCGTGCGAGCCCCAGGGAGGGGGAAAAGCGACCAACCAAC